GGTGCAGCTGAAGGTGCCCCCCTCGTGGACCTCGTTGAAGTGCGAGGTGAGGCTTTGCATGTTCTTGAAGGTACGACCGCAAAAGCGGCAGCCCAGCGGAGCGTTGTTAATCTTGTGCGCCGTTCGAATGTGATTGTTCCGTAGTGAGCTGAGAGCGAAAATGAACAAAATGAAATAGTGAAACATTCTTCCATAATTGTGAACAATCGCTCTCTCTCTCTCTCTCTCTCTCTCTCTCTACTTACCGGTACTTGAAAGTCCTATCGCAAGTGTTTGAAAAACAGCAGAACGCCTCGATTACGTTGTGGGCAGTGGAGATGTGCGTATCAAGGGCGGCTTTGCCCTCAAAGAGAATGTTGCAGTTTTGGACCCAGCATTTTAGCCTCACCGTGCTGACGTACCGGGAAGAATCCTGGCTGGCCGATACGCCAAAGTGACTGGAGTCAAAGGAGTTGCTGTCATCTGAAGGCTCTGGTGGGTGAGTTGTCCCGTGACGATTGCTCACTACTGCTGAGCTGGTGGACGTTCTGGTTGGTGGAAATTTGCTGGTGATGTTGATGGTCGATGATGAGTGCGGCACTGGTCTTAACATTTCATCGAAGTTCATCTGAGCAGCCATTTCATTGTTGTTATCGTGATTGAGAAAAGCACCGTTCTCTTCGAACTCATCAAACTTGACTGGAAGCTCAGCCTGGGGCACCATCATCAGGTCATCGGAGATGTTTGAGTCGGCTGAGCGATGTTCTTCAATCAAGACTGATGCAGCATTCTCTCGTGGTCTTTTAGCTCTTTGATGTTGCTGATGCTGTTGTTGTGTTTGTTGTTGGCCGTTACTGGAACCAGCTGCACCTGATGTAGCTGCTGCTAGAGGAATGAGCCTCGTCTCAGGAATGACTGTCCTTATTCGCTTAGAGAAATGGGCCGTAGACTGCCCCACAACAATGTCCATCAGTTGTTGTTGCTCCTGCTGTTGATCATCTTCCGCCCGAATGCTGCTGTTGCCGCTTCCTCCATCGGCTCCATTTTCCATCTCCTCCATCGACGGCTCGAAGTCGACCAGAGTGACAAACTCGTCGACCATCTCATCGAAGAGGCCATCGATCATGTCAATTACCTGTCGCTTGAAGTTCCTCTTCCGCCTTTCGAAGCGATCCATCATCCGCTGCACGGCGGTACTCATTTTGATGACCAGGGGGTGCAGGTGTGCAGGTGTTTTGGCTTTGAGGTGACAGCGCAGAGACGCGAGTGATGAAATGGCGACTCTCAGCTACGCAGATGAGAAAAGAGTGGAGATGAGGAGATATGAGGATTGAGTCCACTAGACTCTTTTGTGAAGACAACGTAACTTCTCTTTCCCTTTTTCTCTCTTCATCTTTTTTGTGTGTTGTGAAAAAGAAAAAAACAACAAGCTAAACCACTGCAGCACTTTTCATAGACGGCGTAACGAGTTTAAAGTGATTGACCTTTTTGAGTTTTTAGATTTATTTTCAAATCCAAAAGATACAAGAAGCAAAAGATTGACAAAATGAGTTGTCAGGTGGTAATTGACTGAAGGTGTAGATGAGAAAGAGGTCGAGAGGAGTGGAAGGTNTGGTAATTGACTGAAGGTGTAGATGAGAAAGAGGTCGAGAGGAGTGGAAGGTCCTCGGAAGAAATAGGGGAAGCCGTTTAAGAGCAGGCTTCAGTTATAAATTATCGTGATGAAGTGAGGCTGTTCAGATATCGTTCTTTTTTAAGATTTCTTTTTCTTATCCTTCTTAACCTGCTTCTTTGCCTGCTTACCACCACCACCACTACTTCGCCGTTGATGGGGAACAGTTCGGTGGCGACGCATGTCCGAGTCGGTGTGCAGCTCAGCGAAGCACTCCCGACAGTAGACGTCCTCATCACAGTCCAGACAGCGGAGGGTGCCGTCTTCGTTGCAGGTAGTGCACCAGTCCAACGTCTCATCGTAGTCATCGTCGTTGTCATCAGCTTTGTCTTCCTCCGAATCATCCAGATCGCTGAGGCTGCTCATTTTCATGTCCGGTGAGTTGAGTATCTCCTCGATCAACTCCCGACTTCCCTTTGGTTTGCTGCTGTACGACGTTAGTGGCTGGTTCAGATGTTGTGCTTGTTGTACATTTGCCCCAGTTCCTGCTTGTCCCTCTCTCAGCAGCGCCAGTCGCCGTTCAATCTCAGCATCAATGGCTGCCCCGTCCTTGGCGTATGACTCATCAATGGCCAGCTCACTGAGCAGCTGGCCCATCAGGTGGTCCGTCTTCTCGGTGTCTGTCATCGCCGCCCGCTGGCTGATCAGCTGGTAGATTTTAATGGGCGGGTCAGAGCTGGAGTACCAATTTGGGTCGCGGTTTGTCAGCTTCGCTAGGCGCTCCTCGATTTCCTTCTGCGTGAAGACGGGCCTCGTCTCGTCGCGCAGCTTCGCCAGACGCTGCTCAATCTGATCCGTCGGACTGTGCTTGTCCTGAGAGTTGTTATTATCCGGTGCAGACAT